CAGGTGCACATTTATTTTCCGACTGAGATGAAATTTTCCAAACAGTATTTGTTTGGCCCAAGGACAAACCCTATTGAAATTTGTGAGAATCGGTTGAAATTTAGATATAGCTCCCTCATATATCTTCATCCGATTTCAGGTTTATTGTGAACCAAATGACTAATATCAGCCCAAATGAACTGTCTTCCGACGGAATTCAGTCTAGAAGCAAGGACATCAAATTTGGTAGAAATCGGGTGAGATGTAGCTTCCATATATATGTTTCATCCGATTTTATGCATAAATTCCTCACTTTCATAATAAGAACTCTACATTAATGGTATTCGGTACCAGATATCTTATAGAGCTTAGAAATAATATTGGTTCAGATATAGCTATAGCTCTCATACATACGTTTCATCCGATTTCCCCAATTCCTGTATTATTTTTAGTGATGGGAAAATGGACAAAATCGGCCCACTACATTATGTACCGGTCTTCCAAAAGATCAAAATTTGGAATTATTATAACTCTTATAAAATTTGAAATAGGAGCCCGATTTTTTCAAATATCACATATACCAGTGTTTTTTTAACACAAGATCTTATGTGCAGATGGGATATATCGGTCGACTGCATCAAGTACCTCCCCCACAAAGGGTCAAAATTTTGAATAATTATAATTCTTATAAATGTGATGTAAGAGTCCGATTGTCTTCAACTTACACACATTACAATATTTTTATTAACCCAAGGCCTTGTGTGAGAATGGAATATATCAGGGCACTCCTTGTGGTAGCTCCACCACAAAGGGTGAAAATTTTAATATGCTTGAAGCTCGTAAAACGCTAAATTAATAAGGCACATTTCAATATTTCCATCAACACCAGGTCTGTTATGAATACGGCAGACTCCTTATTCTGGTGCCTCCCCCACAAAGGGTCATAATTTTAAACAACCAAAACGATAATAAAATCCGAAAAAATCATTCGGTTCCCTCCTATTTCACATATCCCATTATTTTTACTAACACAAGATCTGCTGTGAAAATGGGATATATAAACTTCTTTAGGTTCACTTTTTTTCTCTATATATTTCACAAATCCCAATATTTCTACTATTCAATTGGTCCAATCCTCCTAGTTCCTCAAAATTTTTAATATCCATGAAGCTTATAAAATGCGAAATTAACATCCTGTTCCATGCAGACTTGGTAAATCTCAATATTTCGTTCAACACAAGACCTTTTATAACGATTGTAGACATCGGAATATTTCTCTTATGGTTCCTCCTCCGCATAGGCTTCAAGATTTTGAAGAACAAAACGCTCAAAGAAAGCGAAATAAGCGTCCAACTCGCTTCAAATTTCACATATACAAACATTTTTGCTAACACAAGATCTGTTGTATAGATGTTATATATCTGCGAAGCCCTTCTGGCATCTCACTTACAAAGGGTCACAATTTTCAATATATTTATCTGTCATACCTTGCGAAAAAAGTCAGCGATTCTTTTAACTTGCTATATCTAAATATATCTCTCAACCAGAAAGCCGAGATGAATATGGAATTTATGATTTCGCCTAGAATTGGAAATAAATGTTCGATTTTTTTGTAATTTTGCCTATACCAATATTTTTGCCTGTATTAGACGAAGTATGAAAATGGAATACTTCTATCGACTATATCTGGTACCTCGCGGACATTTTAATATTTTCTAAAAATTATCAAATTTCTCATACAAAGTGAAGGAAGTAGTCAATATAGTCCAAACCTGGCACATCGAGATATTTATATAATATTTAGTTAGGTCCGATATGAAATGGACAGCATTGGCCTATTCCTGCGGAACCAACTCCATTGAGGATCAACAATTTGAATAATCATAGCAGAAGTCAAAATATATTTAAATAATCGAACTTTGGCTGGGGGTATACATGTGTCGGCAAACCCGACTGATATTTATACCCTACACGACATAGTGGTAAGGGTCGATTTCTTGTAAACAAAATGCAGGTCGCATTTATTATCCGATTGAGATGAAATTTTCCGAACAATATTTGTTTGACTTAAGGATGAGCCCTACTGAAATTTGTGATATTCGGATCAGGTATAGATCTAACTGCTATATATCGTTAAAGTTATTTGTGCACCAAATGGCCAATATAAGTCCAAGTGACCTGAATTTTGGCACATGCAACCAAATTCAGCTTAGAAGCAAATACATCGAATTTGGAAAAAATTGGTTCAGATATAGCTATAGCTCCCATATATATATTTCATCCGATTTGTTGTTTAAGTCCCTAACATTAGTAATATGCATTCGAAGTCAATGATATTTGGTAGCAGATATTTTATAGAGCTCAGAAATACCTTTGTCAAATTTTATCGAAGATTTGGCTATAACTCCCACATATATATCTCTAATCCGATTTCAGGTTTATGGTACAAATAATGGCTAATATCAGCCCAAATGGACTGAATTTCGGGACGTACGTTTCCATTTTGTGGATCTCGACTCCGATATAAATAAATGTAATTGAATGTTACCGAAATTATATAATTTTCATATATTTAGAATAGAGACTGGCAATACTTTATATAATCACGAATTATCATATTTAAAATATAAGATGTTGTTTTTTAACAGAAACTCTAAAATCCGTTCTTTTTTTAATTCCACTTCAATTCAGTTATGGCACTCTTTGAATAAATTATCAATGTTTTTTTGATGAATGTATTTGATGAATTTTGCCCCCTTATTTCCATTATTAATCAGAGATGGTCCGAATGGGAAAATTTTAGGTTTTCGACTGTAACAAAGTTGTAAACGTCGAAAACGTCATAAAGCTGTATAAAAAGTATGAAATGTATTTAACGTCATAAACCTGAAAAATGCTGTGTTATAATCATTATTATGGTCAATTTCTCAAGCTCTTGTTACTAAAACGATTCAGTAAGTTTTTATACATAATTTACTTTGTTAAAAATAATTTATTTAAAATAATTGGAAAACTTTGAATTTGTATGAAACAAATTTCAAATGTATATTGCTGATAGTACCCACGATACTATATAATCACAACTTATATAATATGAACACATGTAAGATTCTCAAAATTTAGACTTTTATAAAATCTACTTTTTGTGATCTTGATGTTTTTTATATAAAACATTTAAATTTAATTAAAGGAATCATAAAATATACAAAATACATAGCACGCCCTCTATAAAATGTCGCGTATACTGCTTGATGTGTTTTTCATTGCATTTGTGCATGTTGACAAATTGAACTGACATATGTCAACCAAAAAACGCCAAAAACAAATTAGTTTGAGCGGGAGATAAAACTACTTTTCAACAATTACAAAAATTTTATATATTTAAAAATGTTAAAAAGTCCGAGTGATGAACAACAACCAGAGGGGTTTGGACAAAGTTCTGGAGCAACCGGTGGTAGGCCCCTTCATCCATATTGGTACGGATATACAAAAATAAGTGAACGAGGAAAAGCTATTGCCCAGTGCAATAGGTGCAAGCAATTAATCCGCAACACGGCTATTAACAGAATGCAGTCACATCGGTAAGTACTCAATATTAATATTAACACAACGATTATTTATAAATGCGTTTTTGGATTTTTAGGAAAAAATGCAATGTTGAACAGATTGACGAGGACAACGGAAGTGATTTACTTGAAGCGGGTATATCCCAAAAAAATGTAAGCATGAATTCGTTTTCAATTTACATGTATTAAAATATCACTATTACTTTCAGTTGTCATGTACACAGACATCAAATACTCAAACTACTATTAAGGATTTTTTTCGTAAAATCAACAAGAAAGACAAAGCTCAACTCGACATTCGTACTGCCAGATTTTTTTTCGCTTGTAACATTCCTTTTGTTGCAGCAGGTAATCAATTCTTCAAAGATTTTTGCAAAGGAATGCAACCATCGTACAAACCACCAAGCAGAAAAAGGATAGCTGGACCACTATTGGATGCAGTGCATAAGGAGCAAATCGATTTGAATGCGAAATTTTTAAAAGAAGGTACATATTCCGTACTTCTTATTGACGGATGGAAAAATTCAGCATCAAACACAAAAAATGTCGCAGCATTACTGCACAACTGTGATCACAGAATTTTTTTGGAATCTTACGACTTTTCATACATGAGAGAAACTTCAGAAAATCTCACTGAAATGGTGAAGAAAGCTGCCAGTTTAGCCAAAGATCGATACAAAGTTGAAGTTTTCGCTGTAGTCACAGATAATGCTGCCAATATGGTATCAATGGGCCGGAATGTTGGGCTGATTCATACAACGTGTAATGCCCACATCGGCAATTTGCTATCCAAAGATATCATCAAGAATTTTGGTATTCGTTTCGAGTTAAATTATCTTTGTGCGACTGGGAATAGCCAGAGGCGATCTACGCGGCTACAGTCTCAACAAAACGATGATGTATTCGGTATGTTGGAGGACGAAGTTACTGAAAACTCTTCAATACTTGGAAAAGTACATAAAATTCTTAATGAATTTAAAAAAGTACATATTGAAAGAAAGTTGTCAATGCTTGGAGGAACCAAAGCGAAGTTAGCATGTGCAACAAGATGGTGCAGTGAGCGTGATGGACTTTTTTGGTTGATAAACAACATTTCCAAAATGAAGCAAATATCTGCAGAAACTAACACTGATGGAAAACCCTTGGTCAAATCGGTGCCGTGACATAACCCCCAGAGACATAACCCCCATTTTTTTTTTGGGGCTTAAGTCCGTTTCATAGCGCGGACATAACCCCCAATTTGACTGGGGGCTATGTCCGACGTAGTTGGCGGACATAATCCCCAATGGGGGTTATGACCGATTTTATTTTTAACATTAAACGTTATAGAAAGGTAAGAGAATGTAAATAATTTTATTATTTTTCAACAAAAAATGAATATTTTAATGTAACAAAAACTAGATTTCATTAGATAATAAATTTATATATAATTTTGTTAAATATAGAACTCTTCCACATGACCAACTACTTGTTTACAAAATGGACATAATGTGAGTGTGTCGTTATTAAGATTTCTTTTATTAATTTCATCAAAACATGCCCGACAAATTTTTCCATGTTTGCATGGTTTTAGAATTATGTTCTTTTTATTTGTAAAGCAAACTTCACACAAAAGTCCATCTGCAATTTTTTCGTCCTCTTCTTCGGATTCTGATGCTTCCGAGTCCAAGTTAATGGAAATATTTTCGTTATCACGCATTATGTTGTTGCTTTTATTTGTCATACTTTGTAAAAAAATTTTAAGAGTAATTTCGCCCAAATCATACTTCGAAACTAATTCATTTATTAAATCATGTCGGTCCCTATTCCTCTTTTTTGGCCTTTCAAAAACTTCATAAAATCCATCCAGGGTTTGCGATAATTCATTAAACTGTCGACTCTCATCATGTTTCAAAACTTTGAAAAACTCCCAGAAGTTTCCATGTGTTGGAATTCGCGTCGATAAGTAGCTATTATACCCTTCTAATGCACTTGTCGTTCTAATATGCTCCTTGTAAAGGGACATATTTTTGGGAGTTTCCTATCAAAATAAAATGTTGTATATTAATGTTTATGGAATTATTTTATTTATTTTTTAATATACCTTTTTTAACCACTGTACCTCAAAATATTTAAAAAGAGGTTCAAATACATTTTCATTTGCTGTAGCAAACAAGGGGTTAGCATATGCTTCCATTTTACAAATATTAAAGGCTTCTTCAATTACAACATCTTTCAGAAGTGGCAAAACGAGAATTTTTTTAAAAATTCGCTTTGCCTCTGTTGATGTTTGCATAAATCTTGAGAGTTGTTTTATTTTAGAAGCCTTTCTTCTTACAGCTTGACAAAAATGAAACCAACAGCCCTTAATTTTTGTATGTGGAAAAACAGAAAGGATGGCATTCCTCATAGATTTCTCGAAATCGGTAGTAAAGCTTTTGGCATCAAATTTGAAAATATTTGAATCAATATATTGCAGCACGTGTTCATATGCTTTTTGTTTCTTATTTGACATAAGAACAAAAGCAAAAGGGAAAGTCTGTAAATATTTAAATAATAATACAATATATTTATACGTTCCAATTTCAAATTTATAATTGTTGCTATAAGTAAACAAAACGACGGCGCCGCATCGAAATTTTTTCATAGGAAAACTGTTAAAATTATTGTTATGAAAATTTTTTCATAACATATCTGCATTTTAAAATTGTAAACGAAGCGCCGCAGGCGAAAAATTTTTCATAAAAAATCGCGCGATTTTTTATGAATAATTTTTCATAGGAAAACTGTTAAAATTATTGTTATGAGAATTTTTCATAACATATCTACATTCTTAAATTGTAAAAATTATTCACTTAGCTTTTGTTTATACACTTTACTTACGTGTCTATCCTGGGCAATATGTATTATTAGTAGCTGTTTGTATCCGCATGCTGGAACTACCGCAAATGTTGCATCCATTAAGTAATGTCGATCATCGCAGTTAATATTATCATTTATCAATTTCGTCATAGGAATTGACAAAAAGAGCGTGTATGAAAAATCGTCTTCTGTCACAGTTGTTTGATAAAATTTTTCTTTATTATTACTCGCACACATTCCGAATTCATTAAGTATGGTAGGATTTTTAAATAATTTTATGAAGTCTTGTGGGCTTTGAGGTACCCTTGGCATTTTTTCACACTTAATCCTACGTAAGTGGCGCTGCATTTTACTAAAAACCAGCGATTTTGCAGTATCGTTGTTCTGGCATACATTATTGAATACCTCTCTAACTCTGTTAGCTTGCAAAGATGGTTGAGCAACTTCAGTTTTGATTTTATTTTTTAAAACAAGTTGTTTTTTATGTTCCTCCTGATCTCCGTGTTCCAGATGAACTTCTTTGCCAGTTCGCACAGTGCATTTTCCATTTACTTCAGAGATTAAGATTGAAGCTTTACACTTACTTTGATAGCATTCATATCTTTTAATATTTTCACTTGTCTTTTTATTAAAATACTTAGATTTGAACGCAAAAATCTGCTTTTCGTTTTTTAAATACACTAAAACGCTACCTTTACGCGCACCCGTAATGTATTCAAAGTCCATTTCTGTATTCATGTTATCTCGTCAACGACTAAATAATTGTGATAAAAAACGTAAATAATACTCGAAATCTAGTTCTTTCATGCAGAATTATAACGGTAAATTGTTAAATTATGAATAAACTAATATTTTGTGAAATATTGAAAAAAACAAATTTTGGGGGTTATGTCCGTTTTTCAGCGCGGACTTAACCCCCAAAATTATGGGGCTTATGTCCGTATATTTTTTGGGGATTAAGTCCGTCCCATACGTCGGACATATTCCCCAGTCAAATTGGGGATTATGTCCGCGCTATGAAACGGACTTAAGCCCCCCAAAAAAAAGGGGGGTTATGTCTCTGGGGGCTATGTCCGGGCACCGGTCAAATCCTATATAAGTGAGCTGCTCTATAAGGAGGACTTTATTCAATCCGTTAAGGAACTATTTGATCTTTTGAATCCTGTAGCTTTACTTATAAAAAACTGTCAAAAGTCTGAGTATTCTATAGCTGATGCAACAGAAGAATGGATAAAATTGCTTACTACGGCAAAACCAGAATTATATGAAGTGGCGGCAGAAAGATGTAGAATCAGTAAAGTCTTTAATAAATATAACCTGGCAGCAAATGTTTTGCATCCGCTATATAAGGGTGGAAGGCTGAACCCAGAGCAAATGCAAAAAGTTGAAGACTTTTTACTGGAAAATCTTGATGAACATGGATTACAATCATTTTCAGAATACAAAAATGCGGCAGGATTTTTTGCCTTACTTTTGGAAAAAACATCCAAACCTGGGCTATTCTGGGAATTGGCTGCAAATAGACACAAATCATTAGCGACATTTGCACAAAAATTGCTCATGATACCAGCTTCAACAGCTCAGCTGGAGGGTATTTTTTCAAATTGGACACATGTTCATACCGATTTGAGGAACAGATTAGACTCAGAACGTTCTAAGAAATTGTTAGAAGTTTATTTTTCTTTAAGAATAAATGAAACAAAAGACGTCTCGCAGTATATAGAGGATACTGATTCCAGCGAAAACGAAAATTAAACGAAACAAATTACAAAATAATTTGTAATAACAGTATGTACCTGCTTAGAGGCCTTTGATTTTAAATGTAATTTAAATGAATTATTTAAGTTTGTTATGTTTTTATATTATCTGTTTAATAAAACAAATATTTTAAAGAAAAACTGAATTGGACTTTAAGAGACAAATGTGTTTTTTATTTCGTTCCTATTTTTGTCAAAAACCTTGTTTTATCGGGTAGGTTTACGACTTTTCCGACGTATGTAATATACGTCGGAAATGTATGTCAGATACGTCATAATTTCCGACGGGCCATCTATGTTATTAATCAAATCACATGCGTGAATTGGCTCTCGAAAAGCAACACTAATCCATCACCTGCTTTTGTTTTGATAGCTATTCAAAAGCCATAAATTCTCCACTGATCACCTAGACGTATGAGTATTTATGTTTTAGCCAACTGTGCGGCATTCATACGCAGTACGAGGTACGTTGGTAACATAGAATTTCAAATCATTTCATCAATTTAAACTCAAATATGAAATTCTCAAAGTAATTTGTTTTCATATCGCCTAGTATGTTAGACATAATTTAAATGGCATCGAGATACAAAACATTTATTTTGAAACAAATTTCAACAATCTTTTAATAACATAAATATCAATTTGAAATGTTTATTTTTCTTTAATTCTAAAATACTACATAGTTTTCGCAAACAGTATGACATCAGTCGAGGTCAGAACTGGAGGGGCATCAAAAAAATATCAAAAATCAAATTCACCCAAAATTCCAAGTTGAGACCGATCACGTAAAAGATCATTTCGTATTGATGGAAATTTTGACTGCAAAGAAAATATTTTTGTTGTTTTTTTTTTTTGTTTTTTTCTCACAATTTCTACGAAAATAGATTCCATTTAAATTAAACAAATGAAATGTATCAATCAGAAAAAAAATAAATTTCTGTTTTCGACCGACGAATACGAACATTGTGACACACCTTTGCACGTATATACAAACAAATAGCTCAATGATAAACATGCCAAAATTCAATTGTCGTAAATAGTTTTAAATGTCTGTTTTTAAGATTGCTTTTCGTAGAAATGATACAATCAAATTGGTATTCGTTCCAATTTTATTTCTAGTATATATTTTATAAAAATAATTCAGCGATTAAATTCAAATTATGGAACTTTTTTTCGTTCATTGAGTTGGCGATATGAGGTGATCAAAAAAAAAACTCAGATATGTTGATCTGTTTATTTTTTAGAGATTAGAAGAATGTATATTGAATCAAATAATATTGACATAAACGAAAATTTTCTGTCATAATATTATCAAAGTACTGAATATGGAGAGGTACAGTTATATGGGGGCTATATGAACACGTACACCTGCACACACAATTTTCTGTCTCAGGCTATAGTATCCGTTACGAACTTCAAATACCAAATTTGAAACGATTTCGGTGAATAATGTCGCCAAAACCATCAAAATGCCGAATATCAAGAGATATCATTATATGAGGGCTATATGAAAACGTGGACCTACATTGCCCATTTTCAATACCAAAAGTCCTGCAAATATAATACACATTTGAGTAAAATTTTATCAACCTACTTCATTTCGTTCGGAAGCTAGACTGATTTCCACAGACTGATAGACGGACGGACATCGCTAAATCGACATAGAATTGGGGTCTAAAATGTATATTTCGAGGTGTTACAAATGGAATGACAAATTTAATATACCATCCATGCCGTGGTGAAAGGTATAAAAACCGTCTATTCAGGTTCCCATTTTGGTATGGCACCCTAACGGCTCCAACTCCAACTTTTTTTATACACTGAGCCATAGCCATATGGAGGGTATATAAAATTTGATACGGTCAAACGTGTCTCATCGAAATAACCGTTTAGACCATAGGTCTCTTTGGAACAAATCCGTTTCAGGACATTTGGGATCGACCTAGCGATATCCGTCCGTCCGTCTGTCTGTCTATCAAGCTGGCGGGTGCGCACGATAACTCTCGAAGCGAGTACCCGATTTGATTCAAACTTGATGCATGGTAATATTATTGTCAAACTTAGACCGAGTTCGGATATGGGAAGTACCACTATCATCACAAAATTTAGCAGTGACAAATTCTGGCAGCTCAGAACTAAAAATGTCAAGTAAATAATAGCTTAAAATAATAATGGGCTTAAACATTCAAAATACCGAAAAACAGGGAGTAACGATGTATGTGGGCCATACCAAAACGTGGACCGATATGTCTCATTTTTATACCCTCCACCTTGGAAAGGAGGGTATATTAACTTTGTCATTCCGTTTGTAACATCCTTAAATATTCGTCGTAGACCCCATAAGGTATATATATTCATAATCAGCATAAAATTCTAAGTCGATTTAACGATGTCCGTCTGTCTGTCTGTCTGTCTGTCTGTCTGTCTGTTGAAATCACGATACAGCCCACATTATTTGACGTAGAGCGCCAAAATTTAGCAGAGCAATTTTTATTGTGTCTAGGATGGTTGGTATTGAGAAAATGAGACATATCGGTCCACGTTCTGGTATATTCCACATATAACGGTACCTCCCGATATTCAGTATTTTGATGATTTGTCCCACATTTTTTCACGGATTTGTCTGAAAATTGGTATTTGTAGGTCATAACGGGTTCCTGTGCGTGTGGCAAAACATTGCATGTATGGGTTCACGTTTTGGTACAGCCCCCATATAAAGGTACCTCCCGATATTCGGTATTTTATTTTTTTTGCCACCTTTTTTCACGGATTTGTCTATAAATTGGTATTCGTTGGTCATAATGGGTTCTAGCTCCGGTGGCGAAACATTGCATGTATAGGCCCCCGTTCTGGTATAGCCCCCATATAACGGTACCTCCCGATATTCGGTATTTTGAAGGTTTTTGCCACATTTTTCCAGGAATTTATCTGAAAATTGGTAGTTGTAGATCATAATGGGTCCTAGTTCGTGTGGCGAGTCTTTGTAATAATAGGTCAATGATTTGGTATAGCCCCTATATAACGGTACCTCCCAACATTCGGTATTTTGATGATTTTTGACAAATTTTTTCAAGAATTTCTCTGAAAATTGGTAGTTGTAGATCATAATGGGTCCTAGTTCGTGTGGCGAGTCATTGTAATTATAGGTCCACGTTTTGGTAAAGCCCCAATATAACGATACCTGCCGATATTCGGAAATTTGATGATTTTTGCCACATTTTTTCACGGATTTGTCTGAAAATTGGTATTTGTAGGTCATAATCGGTTCTAGCTCCTTTGGCGAAACATTGTATGTGTAGGTCCACGATTTGGTTTAGCCCCAATATAACGGTACCTGACGATATTCGACATTTTAATGGTTTTTGCCACATTTCTTCTAATGTTTACTTTACCCTAAGGTGGAGGGTATTAAAAGTTTGGCCCGGCCGAACTTAATGTTTTTTTACTTGTTGATACTAAAAACACTGGTCAATCAAAGCGATAGAATGCTTCTCTGCATTAGTCACCGGTTTTGAAGATCTCACTGAACTGTGCGACGTCTGCATTTTACCTCTTAATGCTCAGGAACGGATTCTATTCTAACATTATATTAAATATGTTCAAAAACTACATAAACCCCTTTTAAACCTTGTTCCTTACATTTTCTTTATTTTCAGCATTTTATTTGCCGATATTGTTGGATTTACGGTGCTATCATCACAGTGTAGTGCACAGGAATTGGTAAGACTGTTAAATGAACTTTTTGGAAGATTTGATCAGTTGGCGCATGTAAGTATTCCTACTTCTTCCCAAGGTTGCCACAATTCCTAATAAAATGCGTTTCGTTGCAGGACAACCATTGTTTGCGCATTAAAATTTTGGGAGATTGTTATTATTGCGTTTCGGGTCTGCCGGAACCGCGAAAGGATCATGCCAAATGTACAGTAGAAATGGGTTTAGATATGATAGATGCTATAGCGTAAGTTTTTGAGCATTTTTGGAAAAATATTACTGCTATTAAAAATAATTCGATTGTATTGAGCTCGCGGTGAATTTTTGTTAATTATTATTTTTTCAAGATTTCTCAATTTTATGAATTATATCATCGGAAAACCGTTCTACAAAGGATAATAAATAATTAACATAAATTTACCTCCAGCTGGATTAAATCGATTTTTTTTTTTTTTTTTGAGGAAATATTTTTTGAAATAAATTGTTTTTTTTTTTCCTATAGTTCTGTTGTTGAGGCCACCGATGTCATGTTAAATATGCGCGTTGGCATCCATACCGGCCGTGTTTTGTGCGGTGTCTTGGGTCTGAGAAAATGGCAATTTGACGTGTGGTCCAATGATGTAACATTGGCCAATCACATGGAATCGGGTGGTGAGCCGGGTAGGGTACATGTTACCCGGGCCACGCTAGATGCTTTGTCGGGTGAATATGAAGTCGAGGCTGGTCACGGGGATCAACGATCTTCATATTTGAGAGATCATGGTGTGGATACATATTTTATTGTACCACCACCACACAGGCGCAAGGTATATATAATATATGTTTTAAATAATATTATTTGACAATAATTGCTGACCTTTGAACTTTTTTGTAACTTCTTTATACTTATTTTTTTGGCTCGAGGTAAGGTCGGAATTAAAAGACAAACTTCGTTTTTATTTTTGATATTTTGTTTTTCGATATTTCGAGCATAATTAAGTCATCATTATTCCGGAAATTTGTGTTTTTTTTTTTTAAAGGAACGGTCTCGGATACCTAATATTTGACTCGAAAGTGGACGTCATAGACCCGGTTTATACCTGGATCTACTAAATCGATCGATAGTCAATATAGCTATCATTTGTAATCTTATTATCATAACTATGCAACTAGTGGTCACTCGTTATTTAAAATGGTTCGGAAGTTATATAAAAAATTTAGATTTTTGAAACCATGTCTTTTATAGAATCTCGCAAAAGTTGAAAATTTACCCATTATGGGAGGCCACACAATAAATGTCAAATTATCTGATTTTTTCCTGGATCCAGAGAAATTGGTCTTTGAATTCGGACAATTCTATTTTTATACCCTACACCACTTAGGGGAAAGGGTATTATGTCTTTGCGCATTTGTTTATAACATGGAGAAGGAAGCGTGATAGACCCATAGTTACTTTTGAGGATCTTCATAGAAAAATTATTATTAGTTTGCTCCAAGGACGAACCCTATTGAAATTGGTGAGAATCAGTTCAAATTTAGATATAAGTCCCATATATATCTTCAAGAGATTTCGGGTTAATTGTGCACCAAATGGCCAATACCAGTCTAAATGACCTGAATTTTAGCGCATCCGACGGAATTAAGCCTGGAAGCCTTGCATCAAATTTGGAGAAAATCGGTTAAGAAACAATAACCCTTGAAATTTTGTCAAGATCGGTTCAGATTTGGATATAGCTCCCATATGTATCTTTATCCGATTTCAGGCTTTTTGCGCATCAAATGTCTAATATCAGCCCAAATAGACTGAATTTTGGGAATTCCGACTGGATTCATCCTAGAAACAAGTAATTCAAATTTGGAAATCGGTTCGGATATAGCTATAGCTCCCATATATATGTTTCATCCGATTTGGTGTTTTAAGTCCCTCACATTCGTAATATGCACTCCGCAATAATAATCTTTGGTACCAGATATCAGATACAGCTCAAAAAAGGTGTTTAAAATTGTGTCAAGGTCGGTTCAGATTTGAATATAGCTCCCATACATGTCTTAATCCGATTTCAGGTTTTTTGCGCATCAAATGTCTAATATCACCTCCAATGAACTGAATTTTTGAAATTCCGACTGAATTCATCCTGGTAACAAATACTTCAAATTTAGTGAAAATTTGTTCAGATATAGCTGCAGCTCCCGACTTGGCTTTTTAAGTCCCTCACATGCGTAATATGCACTCCAGAACAATGGTATTTGATACCGGACATCAGAGGCAACTCGAATATACCTTTGCCAAATTTTATCGAGATCGGGTCAGATTTTTATATAGCTGTGATATACATCTTCATCCGATTTTTTCGGTTATTGCCCACCATACATGTAGCTCCCCTCAATGCGCATAGTGATGTAGTTGGCCCATCCCGACTTTTGACCTTTCCTTATTTTTTTTTATGGATTCAGCAATTCAGCCTGGGTTTGGGATTTATTCCTCTGGGTATGAACACCTATAACGGGCTCTTTTTTATGTTTGTGGGATTTTATAAAATATATATATATATAACTTCCGAACCATTATAAATAACCCTATGATATGACCACTAGCTTTCAAATAGTACCATTATTGTTCATATCGGTTTAGTAGGTCCGTGTTTTGGATTTTTGTCTTGGATTTTTGAACTCGGACAATTCTGCTCAGTACATCGAACCAAAGTTTTCTAAATATTTTAATTTTTTTATGAATTCAGGCATTTAGCCTTGGTTTGGATTTTTTTTCCTCTGGGTATGAACACCCACAATGGGCCTTTTTCCTATTTTAGTGGGGTTTTAATAAAAAAAATCGATATAACTCCCAAACCATTATAAATAACCCCATAATATGTCCATATCGGTTATGTAGATCCGGGTCTTGGACGCAGACTTTCGGGTAAAATAACCAAATATCGGAGTCGGTCCTTCAACCCCCGCCGAAAAAAATTTGCCGGAATCAGGGTGAAAGTAGTAACTTGCGTAAAAAAATTAAAAAGATCCGGGAGTTAAAGAACAGCTGATCACCATATTTTGCGTTTTGTTCTCCTTTTGCTATAAATTATGGTCATAAATTATCTCTAATTATGTCATAAATTATGGTCTAAAATCGGAAAAATATTTTTATATCCTCCACCATACTATGGAGGGTATATTAATTTTGTCATTCCGTTTGTAACTCCTCGAAATACTCATGTCAGACCCAACAAAGAATATATATTCTTGATCAGCGTAAAATTCTAAGACGATATAGCCATGTCCGTCTGTCTGTCTGTGTGTCTGTCTGTCCCTCTGTCTGTCTGTCTGTTGTAATCACGCTATCTTTCGAACAAATTGAGATAGAAGACTAAAATTTTGCACACATGTATATTTTGCCAGTAGGCAGGTTAAGTTCGTAAATGGGCCATGTAGGTCCAAGTTATCATATAGCCCCCATATAACGGTACCTCCCGATATTCGGTATTTTAGCGACATTATTCACCGGAATTGTTTTCAATTTGGCATTTGAAGTTCGTAATGGATACTACAACCTAAAACAGAAAATTATCTGTACAGGTCCACGTCTTCTTATAACGGTACCCCCCCCCCCCATATTCGGTATTTTGATGATTTTAACGACAGTATTTACCGGAATCGTTTCAAATTTGGTATTTGAAGTTCGTAATGGATGCTACATCCTAAGTCAAAAAATGAGCCATGTAGGTTTACGTCTTCATATAGACCCGATGTAAAGGTACCCCCCCCCCAATATTCGGTATTTTGATGATTTTAGCGACATTATTTACCGGAATCGTTTCAAATTTGGTACTTGAAGTTCGTAATGTATGCTACATCTTATGTCAAAAAATGAGCTACGTAGGTCCACGTATTCATATTGCCCCCATATAACTGTACCCCCCGATATTCGGTATTTTGATGATTTTAGCGGCATTATTTACCGGAATCGTTTCAAATTTCGCATGTGAAGTTGGTAATGGATACTTCAGCCCATGCCAGAAAATTGTCTGTGCAGGTCCACGCCTTCGTATAGCCCCCATATAACGGTACCCGCTATATTCGGTATTTTGATGAATTTAGCTACATTAAAAACAGATTTTTCTTCAAGTTTCGCATTTAAATATTGCAATAACTTATGACAAAAGTTGTTTATGCAGGTCTACGTCGTCGTATAGGCATTTGGTATTTTTAAGATTTTAACAGAATTTTAAACGGATTTTATTTATTTATTTTTTTTTTTTTGTACCAAATAGTTTGTTTGTTTGTTTTTTTTAATTATCGCCTGACCTCAAGCCAAAAAAATAAATATAAACCTATTTAAAATAACATACTTTTAAAATATTAATATTATTTTCATTCGTTTTACAGCCCTTAATGCTCAACACCCTGGGTGTGCGTTCCGCCATTGGATCTCGTCGAAAACTCTCATTCCGCAATGTCTCGAATGTGGTGATGCAATTATTGCATACCATCAAATTTTCCGAACCTGTACCATTTTCCAACATTGCCACCGGCTCATTTCCCTCGTCGGGAGGAAATGCCAGCGGCCGTGGCAGTACAAGTGGCGGTGATGGTCAACTGGAAAAGGGATCACGAAAGGTATGTTCATGCAAGCAGTTTTCTTTAGAGTAGTGCAAAACTAAAATTCCCCCCTAAAACCAAAAAGAAAAAAAAATACTAACCCTTATTTTGCCAAAGTTTTTTTTTTCATAAGAAAGCATACAAAGATATATTTCAAATACAGCAAAAATATATTTATTTTTCAAATAGAATGTAGTTTATCAAAAATATGAAAATCTTAAAAACTTAGAATTTTATTTGCATGCCCTTTAAAGTTTTCATAAACAATAATTAACCAAACACTTTACAATATACCAAAAAAAAAAAATATTTATTACTCAAAGCTCAAAGCTTTCAAACTTAAGAAACCAAAAGCAATAAAACTATAACACTTTACACTGCAATTAGCTTTCGTATTAATTAAGTTCTTTCCGTTTTTTTTTCCTTTTCTTTTCGGTGGCTTCTTCTTTTATTTCGATCAACAAAATTGGCTACGCTTTCCCCCCGATTTTATTTAATCACCCCACCTCCTTCCCAATTTGGTTTCTCCTGTATGGCTTCTAATACACTCGGTCACATGAAATCCAATTTTTTTTCTCTTAACCCCCCACACAACCTTATTTCTTACTAACTAACAATTTTTCTCTAAACATTCCTTACCTCCCCTTAACGAATTAAATTTTTTTCAAAAATTTTATTTTTAATTTTCTTTTTATTTTTCATTTCTTTTCTCTTTCTCCTATACTTTTTGTATTCTTTGTGGTATTTGTGTTGTGTTACTGTTGTAATTGTTCCTTTCCATTACAGGATGCGGTAAGTGTTCTATGGTGTTCCTTTTATTTTTGTTTTCTAACCCTTAAAGAGCAATAGGGAAACAATAACCGACATTATTTTTTACCATCTCTGATCCATAGTTGGAATTTGAGATTTTTTTTATTTTGATAAAGAGATGGTGAAAAGTATCAAAACTAATACAAATGAAAACAATTCTGGTGATTGGAGACAGTGGAGAAAATAGGAATTGAATGTATTAAAAAATGGCATTAGAAGAATAATATTGTTTAATACAAGAAGAAGAAGAAGCTGAAGCTCAAAACCAATGTTCTGAACATCTTTCTTTTTAGAATTCAGGATTTTTGGCACCTAATAGAAACAAACGTTTTGAATGCCCAGCTGCCAGAAAAAAACCTATTTGACCTATTACTAAATGATCTTTTGGTTTTATCTTAGTATAAGCAACATATCCGTCTTAAAATTTAGAAGAAACGACAGAGAAACTGCTCGCGGCGTGGGTAAATTCTCGGATTTAAAAAAAATCCAGATTTGAGTATTTGTACCCTGATTCCAGGAAAGTATTTTTTCTTTGGGTGACGGCCCCTGATATTTGACCCGAAAGTGCGTGTCAAAGACCCGGATTTTATCCGGATCTACAAAATCTATCGATGGATCGATATATGTTTGTTTTGAAACCTACTAAAAATAACCATTCAATAAGTTGTCACGCATTATTTAGAACGGTTTGGAAGTTACATAAAAATGACCGATTTTTTGTCCCGTATTTTTTTTTTAATCTCACAAAACTCGAAAATTGAGCCACAAAATAAAGGCCAAATTATAGTTGACAAAATACTACAATATGTGTGATAATTTTTTTTTCTGGATCCAGAGATATGGGTCTTTGAACCCGGACAATTCTGTTCGGTACATCGAATCAAAGTTTTCTAAGTTTGAAACTTTTTTTATGGAGCCAGTATTCAGCCTGGGTTTGTGATTTTCTCCTATGGGTATGGACTCCCATAATGGGCCCCTTTTCGACTTTTTGGGGGTTTTATAAAACATCGGTATAACTCCCGAACCATTCTAAATAACGCCATAATGTGATCACTAGGTATTCTAATTAGCTTTGAAATAGTACCAATGTTATCCATATCGGTTTAGTAGATCCGGGTCTAATATCCGGGAACAGTGTCAAGAAAAATACTTTCTCGAAATCAGGGTACAAATACCTACCTCCGGAAAAAAATCGAAAAGATCCGAGAGTTAACGTACGGTTGTTGCTAGATGTTTAAACAATCGAGAGATTTTCAAATTCCCTTTAGAAAATCCTCTGGGCTGTCAAACTCGCTAAGGAGGAATCCCATTCTTCAAGTGAGGAGCATCCCTGGCTACTATTGATTGTATTCTTAGTGGCGTTTCCCTAACATACATCGTATATACGTATGTGGGGAAAAGTGGCCGACGGGTTGACCAATTCGCCAAAAGCTGGTTACCTTCAGGGGACTACATCATATTTACACCTGTTTGACCGTCTTCTTTGAGGGTTATGCTTTTCATCGCAGAAAAATAACACTTGTTAGGGTGTTTCGAGTTTTCTGACCCCTTACTATGAGACCTCAGCTTCCTTAGCTACGATAGTGGCGAAAAAAAAAGAAAACGGCAAAAAACCCCTGCTGTGTGACTTGAAGTAACTTCTCATTTGGCCTTTCTGTCTTTAACTCACCTACGAATCTGCACACCTTGTATTTGAGAGATGCTTTGAGGAACCTATCCACAGGGACTTCTAGCGTCTTCGATTACAAATAAAGCAGAACATATTTAAAAAATCTCCGATTTACTTCTCCTTTGGCCTTTCTGTCTATAACTCAACTACGAATTTACGCACCTGAAATTTGAGAGGTGCCTTTAGGTCCCCTATCTACAGGGACTTTTAGCGTCTTCGATTACAAATCAAGCAGAACATATTTAAAAAATCTCCGATTTACAGTCTGACTGAAAATATTTTTATGAAAAAATTACGATCGCGAATCTGTAAAAATTTTTAAATCCGCGAAAACAAATCTCGAAAAAATATTTATATTAAAATCCATGATTACAAATCTGGAAGAAATTATTTTTATTAAAATCCCCAATTAGAAATCTAACAGAAAATATTCTTATAAAAACCACGATTACAAATCTGAGAGAACTTATTTTTATAAAAATCAATAATTGTAGACCTGACACAAAATATTTTTATAAAAAATCCACGATTGTAAGTCTGGCTAAAGAAACTTTACTAAAAATCCACAACAAAAAATCTGGGAGCTTTTTTTTACAAAAAATCCTCACTTTTTAACTTCCTCGGTGGCTCAAACAGAAGCCGGGTTGGCTTTTATAACTGCAGGCTCAAATTCAACTACCACCTTGAACTGCTGGAATTTGGAAGGTGCCTTCGAGGCCTCTATACGAATCTTCCTCAGAATCTATTGGTATTGGTATCTATAAAAGTGTCGAACATTTCTATTCTTTTACATTCTGGCTCTTCTTTACAACCGATTCGCGTCAACAACATTCGGCTTTAATATGAAAATTTGATCGACACAGACGGAGCTCCTCGGTATGTGAAAATGTCGGCCTTCAAATTTTCCCACGTATCTCCTGAATCTGTTAAGACTTAAAAAAAAAAAACAAGTAAAAAAGCAGTAAGTTCGGCCGGGCCGAATTTTGAATACCCTCCACCATTTGGAACGAATTAGAAAAAATTCAAAAAAATAAAATCCATTAAAAATTCTTTTAAATCTTTGAAATGTTTAATATAAGAAGGTGCCAATATATGGGGGATATACGATATTGTGGACCCTCCAGGGGTAAAGTGCTCACAAAGAACTACGTGTGTGGATTTTCAGACAATACGATCGAAAAATCATCAAAATACCGGGGGTCGCGTTATATGGGGGAAATACGATATCGTTGACCTATAAAGACAACTCTCTGTGAGGGGGTAAAGTACTCACAAAGAACTCCTTGTGTAGAATTTCAGACAATTCCGTTGAAAAATGTGGGTAAAATCATGAAAATACCGAATATGGGGTGTCGTCCCCATCGAATAGTATTGACAATTTTGTCGCCATGTAAGGGTTTTGTCTGGTTAAATAATTTGTTTTTGAACTCCTGTCTCTAATCACCAGAATTGTGTTCACTGTTGTTCATGATCAACATATAACAAATATATATATATATATGACTACAACAAAAATAAATATTTGTGTTCCATGTTAAAGTAATATGTTATAAGGCAAGGAAACATAGTGTTTGTTATACCTAACAATATATAATGGAAAATGTTTTACATAAATAGTTTTGCTAAATTAAAAAATAGAATTATAAAAAAATATATTTAATTAGCTAGAAAAATGTTATTAAATAGTAGACATTTTGTAAATAATAAATAATTGTTTTCATTAAAGTATTTACAGTGTTAGTATATTTGAAAACTTAATTTACTTCATTATACGCCTTAGATGATTTGTATTTTGATGTTACACTGCTATGGCAATAAATAAAAATATAGGAAATTGACTAGAAAAAATGGTAGTCGTAGAGACTATCTAAGTATCAAATTCAAAAATATTAAATAGATGACTTTACACATTTTTGAAATTGCAGACTATAAAAAAATAGAATTGTTAAGCTTATTAATGAATTTATATACGACTGTCTTTTGAACTCAATTAACTAGCAGGAATTATACACAATTATAGTAAAGATGGTACCTTTCATCTTATTCTCACTCACTCCTACACTCTTCGATGGGAAATCCTTTTTTACAGATGTAAAAAAATGTTCTCTTAAATCTTCAATTTCTAATCTTCTCTTTTAGAACATTTCATTACTACAAATCTGAAAATATAAGCGAAAAGAGAACAAAATTCAAACTTGCCAATCTGAAAGAAAATATAAAGAAAACCCCTTTTACCTATGAATAAAAATTCACGATTCTCACACAAAGTATTTAATAAATTGTAAATCTGACAAAAAAAATTCTATAAAAATTTAAAAAAAAAATTAAATAAATAAATAAAAAATAAAACAAGTAAAAAACATTAAGTTCGTCCGGGCCAAACTTTTAATACCCTCCACCTTAGGGCAAAGGAAACATCAGATGAAAATTGGCACAAACCATTAAAATGCCGAATATCGGGAGGTGCCGTTATAGCTCCCATATAACGGCACCTCCCGATACCAAATCGTGGACCTACACATGTAATGTTTCGCCAAAG